CATAAAAACTAAAGCAAAAATAGGATAAATATGGAATATAATTCATAACTCACATTACCCTAACTTATTGAAATGTATTATTATTATTAGTTATCCAGGTTGTTTACAGCTTTCAATACAAAACCAGGTGTATTGTACATTGTCCCTCAACAATACATAATATCTCAGAGTTACCCGTAAAGACTAGTTTGGAACTCCTGCACTTTTAACTGACTACAAAAAAAGTTTTTATGGAGTATGATATCACTGATGATGTCACTGAGTCTTTTGATCTCTGGTGGAATTCTTTCCAGGTTCATTCTGCAGTTGTTTCTGACAGAGATCTTACAAAGTTTTCGGAACTTTTGCAGACTCAGTTTTGGCGAAACAAGAATTGCTGGAAGCAATCAGAAGATGTTTCATCCTGACAAGACGCCACAGCCTTCCCCTCAGCAGGAGAAAGATGAGGCCATTTTTGGCAAAGTCCTCTCTCTGCTTTTGGAGGTGACCGATATGTTGGAGGAGAAGGAGAATTTGACCGAGCAAACGGGACAAATGCAGAGGAAACTCGGAAACATGGAACGTCTCGAAGAAGATTACATGTACCTCAAAAGCCAGATATTCATTTATAGCACGATAAATGAACATTTAAGAGAGGAGTTTTCTGAGTTGCAAGGACAATTGGAAGCTCAAGCTACCCTGAGGGATAAATACCAGAAGAAACAGAAAGAACTTGAGAAAATTATCCAAAGCAACAAAGCTTTTGAAACAGTAATTAAGGAGTTAATTTTGAAACTAAAGAATCCCAATAAACTGAAAGAAAAATATCAGGCAGCAGAAGATGAGAAAGAAATCCTGACACAAGAAAACACCAGGCTGGAAATGGAGATTCAGAAGGTCCAAAAGCAGCTTTCAATACAAAACCAGGTGGAAAAGGAGTGTGAAGAAGCGGAACGGTACAACAGAGGCTTAGAAATGAACAACAAGACTTTGGAGAAACAGCTAGAAGGTCTAGAGGACAAACTCTGGGAAAAAGAAACCAACTTTATGACTAGCTACACCCAAAACCTACAGATTAAAATCAGCCAGCTCCAAAACCAGCTTCAGACGGAAAAATACTGGACTGGCAAACTGAAAAATATCAAAAGTAATTGGATGGAAATAAGTGAGATGAACAGCAAACTTCAAGCAGAACATGAGAAGCTCAAGCTTGAGCTGAGGAAAGCTAAAAGGTTCAAGGACAAACACAGTGAAATTCAGTCTATTGTTCAAGTTAAGGAGGAAGAAAATGTCTCTCTGTTGCTGGACAATCTAAGACTTAGAAAGGAGCTGCAGAATCTTAAAAGCACGGAGGACAAAGTTGGAAAGTCAGCCAGTCCACCAAAGACAGATGAACGTGAACGAGGCCAACCTGATGAAATGCTGGATGTTATTTCCTCCTCACCTGTCCATTCAGTGAAGGACACAGAGGTCTCCTTCAGCCAGGGTGACCCACATGCTGGTGACCAATGTACCGACATTGGTCAATCAGAGACATATTCAGAGAGTTTGAGAGTTTCCACAGATCTCAGTTCCACATCTGACCATCATGTGGACGAGACTGAAGTCACTGTGGATCATGGATGTGGTGCAGATGAGACCTGTGATGGAGCTGAACCACCTCAGTCCAACCAAACGGGGAGATGGTGGAATGTGTCCCTCTATAACATGCTGTTTGCCTTACCTAAAGCCACCCACAACTACTTTATTAGCAAACAATAAGACCAAACTCACACACACACTCACACAAATTCAAATACACCAAAAACCTTTTCAAGTTTTCTCCAGGTGATGTTCAAATCACCTGGAGAAAAGCTGAATCTCAATAAGCCTTTTCCTAAAATCTCTGTTGATCAGCAAACGGCACAATCAGCTCCATTCAGGGTTGTTCCCAAACAAACAGGGAATCTGGAGAAACGTCACTTCGACATGTCTTTAGTTAAACCTAAAACCATCTGCAATTATTTTCTGCCCACACACTCACACCTAAAATAACTTCACATCACATATAACATTCACCTGATCAATGAACCAGACAAACACAAAACAAATTAAATATGCAACTAAATGTCAGAAGAATCAATCAAAAATGTTCAAACAGTAAAACATACATTTGCGGGTTCTCTTCAGGTTCTCCGACTTCTCCCTATAAAAGCTCCCTGTTAGGTGATGATAGTTCACCTGTCACCTTGTTAATTGCCTTCACTGCACACTGATGAGGTAATTAAGCTACTTGGTTCAGGTGTGTTTGACCACACCTGATTAATAATAATAGGATTAGTACCGTTAAGTAATTTACCCACAAAAAACAAACAATAGATCAATCAATCAATCAATCAATCAATCAATCAATCAATCAATCAATCAATCAATCAATCAATCAATTTCATTTCAGCAACAAGATATTTCAAAGCGCTTTACATCATAAAAACACAAAGTTATGCAAACTAGAATCAGAAATCAAAACCATCCATCCGCCCGCCCGTCCGTCCGTCCGTCCGTCCGTCCGTCCATCCATCCATCCATCCATCCATCCATCCATCCATCCATTTTCTTCTGTTTATCTGTGGTCGGGTTACGGGGTTAGCAGCTTCAGAAGGGAGACTCAGACCCCTCTCTCCCCAGCCACTTGTTCCAGCTCTTCCAAGGGAATCCCAAGGTGTTCCCAGTCCAGCTAAGAGATGTAGTCCCTCCAACGTGTCCTGGGTCTTCCCCGGGGCCTCCTCCCGGTGGGACGTGCCCGGAACACCTCACCAGGGAGACATCCAGGAGGCATCCTGACCAGATGCCCGAGCCACCTCAACTGGCCTCTCTCCATGCGGAGGAGCAGCGGCTCTACTTTGAGTCCCTCCCGAATGACAGAGTTTCTCACCCTATCTCTAAAGGAGAGACCAGCCACCCTACGGCAAAAACCCATTTCGGCCGCTTGTTCTTTCAGTCATGACCCAAAGCTCATGACCATAGATGAGGGTGGGAACGTAAATCTACTACTTAGCTCTTCACCATGACGGGCCGGTACAGCGCCGGCTTCACGGCAGACACTGCGCCAATCCGCCTGTCGATCTCCCGCTCCCTTCTTCCCTCATTCGTGAACAAGATCCCGAGATACAGGACGAAAACCACACCGTACAGCTCCTAGGATCATTGGGACACTCAAACCCCTCCACCACGATAAGGTGACAGCCTAAGGAGAGGAGCAATCAAAACCTTACATTTAATCAAGTGCCATCATTACATTCTTAATGGATTGTGTTTCAACAGCAACTCTAAACAGCCTGGTTTTAATCTACCTAAGGCAATCAGTGTTCCAGCTGTTTTTCAGTTTTCTGGAAGTTTGTTCCAGATTTATGATACATTGAAGCTGAATGTTGCTTCTCCCTGTTTGGTTCTGGAAGGTTGCTATGACAACAGAAGATCTTTCATGTATTGTGATGCTAAGCTGTTCAGTGATTTATTAACTAGCAGCAGTATTTTTAGTTTATTCTCTGACCACAGGAAGTCAGTGCAGGGACTTTAGAACTGGGTGAGACCAGAAACCAGACTGGAAGACATCAAAGTATTTGGCTATTTAATTGTTTCAACACTGATTTTTTCCATAGATATATATATATTTTTTTTAATCAGTGATTTGATGATAAAGACCTCTGTTGAAGCTTGCCCTCTAGCATCTTTCTGCTCTATCTCCTTAATGTCTGTAATCTTGATTTTAAGTTGCTTCTGTTTTCTCTTTCCCTGATTGTTTTTTTTTTTGTTTGTTTGTTTGTTTGTTTATTAGTTCTGTCAGCTGATTCGAAGCAAATCACTGTTTTGATATAGACAGTGTTGATTGTACAGCTGGTCACACAGTCATTTCATTGATGTCTTTTCCATGTTGCTGGCACAGTGCATCCCAGTCAGTGGCCTCAAAACGACACTCAGCTTCCTGTGCCCATCTTCTGTTGTATTACAGGTAAGGGGTTTACATTCTTGAGCAGAGGAAAATGAGACTGTGATCTGTGTTTTTTCCCCAGAAGCGATCTTTGTTTGGAGATGTATGAATCATTAACATGTGCATAAAACAAATCTAACGTCTGGTAGTCTCGAGCAAAGAAGCTGTTAAACATTGGCAGAGTAGCAGATAGTCAGGAATGATTAAAATCATACATTTAAAATCATAAATTTAAATATGTAATTTCTGAATGACAAAAACTCTTCCATCCTGCTGACTGGTAACAAACTTCACCTGAAGAAACATCATCTCTATAAACAGGTCCAAACTGAGATTTTTCTGGAACATCAAACAGTGACCTGGTTGTACAAACCAGAAAGACATGGCTGCCGACTCGTCTGTGTCTTTTCACATCAGGAATCTTGAGAACCACGACTACAAAAAGTGCAAAACTCAAAATATTTATCTTCCAGAGTTTGTAGGTAGATATTTATCAGAACTCTGGACTGTACTCCAGCTTCAAGGGACACAGAATAATCCAACGGCATGTAAATAGTGCTTAGACTTATGTTTGCACTTACGGTAGTTTAGCAAGCCGTCTACAAAATAATTTTCGTTAGCTGAAATGTTGAGTTACATAAAATGTTCACTTAAAAATAGGACCTGCTTCATTACCTGTTAACTTCTGACCTGATGTATTTAACATGAACATAAAAAAAAACTCGACTTCCAGATGCAGCAGTATTTATGTCATTAACCTGAATAAGTAACATTACATTTGATTTAAATGTGTACATACATTTGATGTATTTATTTATTTACATTAAATGTACATTTGAGATTTTCTTTTATCATGTTTTCCTGTCACCTTTAATATTTACTTTGAAATATTTAATCACATCAAATGTTTACTGAAACATGTACTCCATTTCATTTTACTCAAGTGAAATGTCTGATTATATAACGGTTTACTTTATCCACAAAGGACTCTTTTAAAAATGGGATCTATTTCATTGCATGTCTACTTGTTACCTGAAATATTAAACGTCTCAAGAATGTTCACATGAATCTTTATTAAATAACAGAAATCAGTCAACTCCATGTTAGTATTCAACTATACAAATATTTCAACAAAAAACAATTTGTGCAAATGCATATTTTCACAATGTACATTTTTGCATTAAACAGTACTGCCAGCTGCTACAAATATTTCAAAACAATGAGTGCAGCAAACTTATTTTTTCCCAGTCTATGTTTTACATATTAACATGTGAAGGTTTCTTTAGCAACCGTGTTCTCCAAACTGTAGCACACATACACAATCTTATCAAGAAGTGTCGTCTCTTCTCCCTCACATGTGAGCAGCAAACTTATTGGCACAGTTCTGTGTAACATCTGGTATTTGTTTCTCATGCAACCGATCACTCTTTTCACCTGGATCCTGAGGTGAGCTACAGCTTGTGTGTCTTCGACATCTTTAACATCGAGCAGACCTCTCCCTTTAGTGAACGACGGCATTTTGACCTCGGCGCACATCATTCCCGCGCTGTCTTTAATATCAAAGCCTCTGCCAGCTAACACAATATCGCCAGGTAATAAATTGGAAAGAATGCCACAGTTTTCTGCTACGTACTTGTCTGATGCACGCCCGCCCCATCCATTAGAAATAAAAGAAACGGAACCATGCGGCGTGATACCAACGAGGTATTTCATTGTGTGTCTGCCTTTGTGCTGAGAGAAGGACTGTGCGCATGCTTTCAAATTTGACGGCTTTTCTGTGCCTATTTCGAAACAGTCAACAATAATCGCCACACGCTTTCCAAATGATTTCAAAAACTGAGGCGGCATGGCGGCTTGTAAGCAGTGCCTCTCGGGCCAGCTCACTACCGGCTTAAAGTGTGTGTACAGCACATCTAGGGTGTCAGCAAAGATATCAGACAGAGTTTTGTGTGACACATTGAATAGATGGCAAAGATGCTGAACAGGCAGATCAAGTCTAAGACGCATCAGTGTCAGCACAACCATTTGAAATTGTGAAAGAGTTTGTGATGCTGGCAGAAAAGGCATAATGGTGTTAAACAACGACAACAAAACGGCTAAGCAAGGAAGTCCTGTGTAATATGTGACCTTTTTTGTGTCGTCCGTAAAAAAATTTTCGGCAGGATGTTTTTTGTTGAGCTCAGACCTGAGCTCCCTGTTCTCCTGTAACAGACGGTTTACTTCTGCCATCCTCTCTTCACACAGCTCACATTTGATTTGTTGCCTTTTTGCTGCTGGTTCATATTCATCTTCCTGACCTGCAGCCTCACACAGCTCCTCTCCAGCTGACTCCTCTTTTACAGTTTGTACCGCTGCGTGTTGATTATTTGGCTCTTCTGGGGTTTCTGATGGAGTCACTGGAACCTGATTTTCCACTTGTCGATGCGACATGTCCATCGCTGCCTTGTCTTCAGCTGCACCGCTGCAGCGCCTCTTTAATCGACCACAACGTCGGTCTGATGTCGACATATCCATCAACAGAGTTGGAACCCAGTCTGGATTCTGCTCATCCATTTCATATGCAGGTTTGCCTTGAAGAGGACATATGAGAACACAGATCAGTGTTACTACTGTAAAACTGGCAATACTAAAGCCACTTAAGCACTTTGTTTCATGTAACGTTAATTTTACTGATACTGTACTTTAAAAACAGCCATTAAATGCACCACACAGCGGTGCGGTATTCACAAAACCACTGAGAAAAACACGCTGAATACAACACACGAACTAACCGTGAGTAAACCCGAACAAAAATGTATGACAGAAAACCAACAGAGCGAATTTAGACACTCACCAGAATGGAAATGTTTGGAACAAACTTGCATATATCTCGGAATCTTGGAGAAGTTTATATCAGGACGTTTTACTGCTGATATCCAGGCCAGTCGTCTTCTTTTAGTTAGCTCAGCTACATGTTCTCCCTCACGTTGTTTCCAGGCAGGAAAACAATGAAACGAAAGTCCGTTTTCTATCTTCTTACCACTCCGGTCGTGTGACCGGACGTTACAGCCAACAACACAACAGGTCCGAACCATCGTTAAATCATTCCAACCTTCTTAAATCTGAGAGAAAGTTTTTTTTCGATGGATATTATTTGTTGCCCTTCAAGATGGCGCTCATATCCCATCAACCACTGCGCCGCAGGCTACGCCTACCAGTGACGTCAACATTAGCAATCTTGCTAACAAGCTTAGCATAATTTAGCTAACATGTGAATGGAACAGCATTACTGAACTTACACGGTTTGTTTGGAAAACGCTGAAAGGTTTTTCTGACACAAACTGCAGTTCAGAAGCTCGTTTCCCGTTGAGCCACAGGAGCGACACCCTGGTGTTAAACCACATTCTGTGACCACCGCATATTGTGAACGTTATGCGCCGTTGAGTTTTAACGCGAGTGAAATAAACAAATGGAAAGAGAGACTGTCAAAACCACACTAATATTTGATCAATGTTAAGATTATTATGGAAATATAACTCAGATGTTGTGACCATACTATTAATTATATAACATTAAATAGAGACTTTAAAACATGTTCACTTATAGAAAAATGTTAAATACGATGGACTGTCCTCCAATAAGTAAGCATTATTTGTATTTTTCAAAACATAACAGTGGGCTCACGCCTGCATTAGTAGCAAACTCCCTCAAGGTGTGTTCAAAGACGACTCGGAAAAACATGTTACTATATGTTAAATGGGAATAAATCTTTTATTAAGTGTAGAGGAAAAACAGTGGTGTAGAGGAGTTTGACACTAACAAACTTGTCATTTATACAGATGATTAATGTCCCAAATGACTGAAGACTGAATGTACCTTTATATACACGATACAGAGGCAGAACACACAAGATAAATTAAGTGTCAATAGAACTCAGGCCAACACAGCTGTTCAGACTGAAAATAGTAAAAGCAGATCTCAGAAGAGATTATGTTCTCTTTAGAGCTTCCTAAACTTAAAACGGTCATGTTGAACAAGCATACATTTCAGACTGATGCTGAATTGAAGGGAAAACGTGGAATCATGATAGTGATGTTCACACACACACTAAAGCCACGGGTGAAGCAGTTTTCAGTCTGTGGACCCTCTGCTTGCAAGAAGCAGAGAACAGTTGGGAGGGGTTTGGACGAAGGATTGGCACCACCGTCTGGTTCCTCTGCAGAAGGACATCGATCCTCGCCCACCTGAGTATGCCAGGTTACGGGCCAGGACGTCATAAACACTCCAAACACACATGTACGTTCCCATAGGTGTGTGAGCTGGAGCTCCTCTGAGAAGCAGACAGACTGATGGAGGCCAGAAGAATGACCCCGCCGATCAGCAGGCTACCTTCACATCAGACCCTTAGTGCTTTGTATGATGTCTAAACAAGCACCTTTGACCCTGTGACCTCTGGCTGGGAACCAGCAGGACAGGATAGAGTCCAATATGAGAGCACCCTGCTAAACAGGCGGGGTTTAACCTCAGCAACCAGACTGGGTGATGTCTCCACCAGACCTCTTCGACACCTCCAAGGTGGTAAAGACCTGCAGGAGGAAGAGGCAATCGTTACGGGAATGTTACTTGGTAAAAGGCCTGGAGAAGCAGGCAGAATTATTGGCACTCCAGGTAAAGATTTGTAAAAAGACTCAAAATAAATTCATATTTAATGTAGCAGCCAACAGGCCAGCAGTTTCCCCTCAGTGTACTGTAAGCCTGGCAGGCCACCAGGCTTTACTTGGGGGACCCCACCTCCAACAGGGGTCCAATATGTTGGTTATTATAATTTGTCTGGTGAAACGGATTGAAATACAGCGTCAGTACGGTCAGGATGTCAAAACATAGAGAGAATAAGGTCATGTGTCTTTCTTTTTCTTTCTGTTTGTTTTTCAATTCACCAGACCTCTGACCACTTCCTGTCTCTACTGGTCTACACACCAACAACTTCACACTTTATTGTTGACTTGTCAGCAAATAACATGAAAAGTCACAGATAAAGAATCAAAAGATGTCCCAAAAATTAAGATTTATTTTAATTACATTTATTAATTGAAGCCTTTAAGACTTCATAGCTGATGTTTAGGTATTGTTAATATCTTTAAACACCACGTGATTACCAAGTTATATTTTTACAATTTCCTCTCAACTTTAAACATTTGACTCAAACACTGGGGAATCTGGATGATTCCTAACCGATCTATTGTTCAAGTAATTATTGTAATGGCCTATTAAGATTTTTTTTAGACAGTTTTCAAATGAAATATTGATAATGGCAAAATCCAAGTTTGCCCTCTCAAAATACCAATGCATGTACATTTTGTAAAAAAGAAAATAAAAAAAACATACAAGCACTGGAGCCAGAAAATATTTTCAATATCAAAAATTAAAACCAAAAGAAATAAATGCAACTGAAAAACCATTTATAACTTAAATCATAAATAAAATGGATTACTAAATATCTAAGCAAAACTTCCCTTCAAAAAAAAAAATCAGCAAGGAAACAAAATAACCTAATGTGCAGCAATTAGCCCTGATACACATTAACATAATGAATGCATAATGCTGTATTATTAAGCTAATACACCCCATCCATCTCAACAATAGAACTGATCCATAATTCAACATCTTAAGACAATTGGAGATGAGGATGCTGGCACAGCCAGTGAAATAGCCATTTTTTATGCTTCAGGACTCAGAGACATTTTAATCAGAGAGAATAAAAAAGGTTGCCGTGCTGCTCCTACCTCAGCGCAGGTCGGGTGGATGCCGATGGTGGCGTCAAAGTGCTCCTTGGTCGCTCCACATTTCATGGCGGCACCGAAGCCCTGCGTCACCTCCCCCGCGTTTGGCCCCAGGTAGTGGAACCCGACAACTCGGTCCTGAAAGGTGACAATAAAAGCAATTAACTGAGAGGACAGAACCGTGAAGAGAGGAGGATAAATTTGCTGAAACCGTACGCTGTCCAGTTTGTTGCAGATGATCTTGGCGTAGCATTGGTTGTTGTCGCGGTTCGGCACAGTGAACTCCAGAGGCCAGAACAGACTGTGGTACACCTGTTACACAAAAACAAGGTCAGACACGCATGTGGAGACATTACATACAACATTTGGCCCTAAAGCTGCAGTATGCAACTAATATAACTAATATATATATATATATATATATATATATATATATATATATATATATATATATATATATATATATATATATATAATTTTTTTTGCATGTTTGTTGAATTAGTCACTATGTTGTGACAGTATGGTAAAAGACAGATGATCTAAAAAAGTAAATAAATAAAAAAGCAAAGATCTTTTGCATTCTCCCACTCCCATCTATGACCAACCAGTCAAAGCCAGGAGGCAGGTCTTAATGCCGTCAATCACCCCCATTTGTGGTGCTGCTCATCCCCCTCCTGCTCTGTTACGCTGCAGCTAGCATAGCCTGTTGTGAATGCTGGGCTAGTTAGCATGGCTACCATTGATGGCAGGTAAACAGTCTTCCTGTCATGTTAATTTGTTTTTCCACCATTAACACATTTATCAGCAAGTATATTAAATTGATTGACTGCACAAAGACGCTCTTCCTGCCTATGATTGGTGGTTTTTGGTGTTTCTTCAGACGGCAACAGCAGCTCAGGCAGGAGGTGGAGAAGATCCTTCTTTTCACAGACTATCCGTCTCAAACTGTCATGACAAGGTGATAGTTGTAGCAAACATGCATATGCTTTTAAAAAAAAAATAAAAAATTAAAAAGTTCTTCTATAGTTGCTACATTTTCTGCTTACAACAATGAGTGCAGGTCTACCAATCTTGAGACAAACTGGTTAAATCAGACTTACTTAAAGGAAACAAGCCTGGAAATAATTATTATTTGAACTCTTATTTGACAAGGAGACAAAGTGGACAGGATCTCAGTCAGCTGAACCCGATCAGATCTGATGAATTATTCACCTCGATGTTGTCCTGGCCGTACAGCTCGGTGGCTCTCTCCTCTGACAGGCCGCAGGCGCCGTACTCCAGCGGGGTGAAAACCGTGGTGGGAACGTTGATGTAGTCACACTGCGCACAGACACACGCATTTATCAGAGGGCCCCACACCGTCTTAGAGACCGTCCAAGAGAACATCCAGTTGGCATTAGAGACCAGGCGGTACCTTGACGGTGGATCCCCCATAGAGACGACGCGCCAGTAACTTCCCAGCTTGGATGGCGACGGGCGTCAGCTCCCACTTTCCCTCCAGAATGTCTCCGATGGCGTAGATGTGGGGCACGTTGGTCTGTTCCTCATCGTTCACTGGAATCTTTCCATTTCTGGGAATACAGTTCGGCAGGTTAACAAGGATGGAAGGAAGAAAAGCCAAAATTAAAACTTATCTAAATACAACAAAGGAAGACGGCAAGTTCAAGTCACCATTCATCATCAATGAGGTGTTAATTCTCATCAGGTACTTCAGATTAGACACACTGAAACTAGAATAATAAAATCGATGAAGCTTCTTTATTGAACCTTCACAGACACACAAATTATTACAAAATCAGCTTTCTATCATGTGAAGAACATTTCTAGAATTTAAGGACTACTGTCCTAACAAAATGTAGAGAAACTCACAGAGTTTAACTTTAGTCACATTGATCAATGCAACACTACCAGATCTCGTCTTCATGTGCAAGGTCAACACCTTGTAGTTGCCAACCGAGCAATTTTGTCGCAATATTTTATATCTCATCAATGTCATTGACCTTCCCACAGGTCAGTGACAGTAAACACACACATAGATGATATATTGGATGCAGAGATGTCTAAACATTTTGGTGCATGGGCCAAAATCATTGAGTTCAAACTGTTCGAGGGCCACTTTTTTTTTCTTTTTACTTTTCTCGTCTAGTCTTAGCAACAACAGAATTTTGGTCACTATTTCTTTCACCAAAAGGTTTCTTTAAAAACCTTTTGCTGCATTTTGTTTTGATTAGTTTTATAAGTCAATAAAATGCAGATTTGGACGCTCCAAGGTCTGGTTTTAAGTACAATTTGATAGACATTTGTGGTAATATTTATATTTACTCAAATAAAAAGAAAGCAAACATAAAGCAATAAAAAAATCACTACTGTGTTTTGAATCTAAAACTTTCCATCTGAAAACATTGCCAGCAAAATGTCTCATTTGCATCAGACATGCTTTCATTTTGATGAGCCAGTACTTAGTTTCTATCCTCATGGTTTACTATTCACTGGAGAATGGCATACCATGACACAGCAAAGATAAGAAATTAGGTCCAAGGTCAGCCTGAACACTGTAGTAAATTTCATGAAGACAGTGTTAATATTTCACAGGCTCATTGATACACACAGCAGCTCAGATTGTATATTACTATGATCATAAGATCAGAGCATATGACCGAGAACAGCTTCAGGCTCAGCTGCCAAGTCATTCACTAAACAGATCCTGGGGACCAGTCAAAGACCA